TACTGAGCCTCATTTTGACTTGTTTAAAGGACATTACATCAAAGTTGGATCAGCCTGTAGTGTGTTTTTCCACTTTAATTTTGAGTATAACTCCAAATCCAGACCTCCATGGGTTGATACATTTGATTTCCATTGATCATTTTTGTGTGATTTTGTTGTCAGCACATTCAACACCTGACAGTGTGGCCGAATATGGGTACGGTGGTTTGTCTGTGTGAGAGTTAATATAAACATCAGACTCTGGGTCTGCAATCCGTTTAATTAGAGAGGACTCTAGACTCTACACAGCTTCCCAGTCCACTGAGAAATACAAGTTGAACAGGGCAGCAGACAGGTCACCCAGGAAGACAGAGTAGGGGTCAGGTCAGGTGACCTCCTATGGTCTAACAAGTAAACTAGAACTCTGACCTGAATCTGCAACAAACTTTTAGAACCTTTTGTTAAACTTTCACCTAAATTTGATCTTAACTTATTTTATTGCTATTGATTTTATGTAATGGTGTCAAGACAATAATGTTAAATATGGCAAACTACGTCAATACAAATGTCCGACTCACTCCCCAGCCCTGACTCAGCAAAGACACAAGTGTCAGGAACCAACGCCGCGCCTCCTGACAGTCAGATCACTCAGTCGCCCCATTATATCCGACCCATTGGCAGAAAACGTATCTGTTCAGCTCAGGGAGTTTTATTTACGCCCAGCGAGCTCATGTATTATCTTACGCATTGATTCTGTATGACTGCCAGAACACTGCCAATATGTTTGGCCCAGCAGAGACCGTGAGGTAAAAAACAGGAAAGTGAGGCTGGATGGGGTATGTGTGTGTGTTTCCATGGAGAGTGTGCAACATACTGTATATAATGTTTAAACTACTTCCCAAACTCAGACACAACAGCCAGTCAGTCCAGTTAAAAAACGGCTGCCAAAAGATGTTTATAATAAATAACAGTAATTTACATTTAAAACCACAAGGGAGGTTAGCACTAACAGCTACTAGGATTTGACTCTGTGTCTTCATGTAAATTGGAAAACTGGGACACTAGTAATTCCATGGTAGCGGTCAGCACACCTGCCTCAGAAGCAGAGAGCAGGTGGTCCTGGGTTTGATTCTCATTGGATCTATAACTTTGAGCTCAGTTCCATAGAGTAGCAGTTAGCATGCCAGCCACAAAAGGAGACATCAGAGAGGCCGAGGTTCGATTCCCAGAGGGGCTGCATGCTTGGCGCCTGTTACAGCAGATGTGCTGTTAGCACAAGAATTTAACAAATATGGGCTAAATAAAGTTGAAATTATTATTATTATTACATGAAGATAAACTGCAGTACGTCAACATTTATTGCACATTATACGTTAATGCTTTTATTTAAAAAAAAGACAAAGGAAGAACCAGCTAAAACAAAGACAGTGGAAATGGTCCAAGCTCATGGTGCAACACTGCTAACAAATCACAAGAAATTACTTTGAAATAGTCCCCACAAGTCTACAACTGCGCATTCCCTTGAAGGTTATTCTTGGAAATTTTCAAAACCATATTGGTGTTTGTTTGTTGCAGTGACTGTTAACAGACATTTGTATAAAGGGAACATTCTTGTCAACTTTTATGTTTTTCACAGAAATAAAAACTTGATACATTTCCCTCTTAAGGGACATTTACAGCACACAAAAAAGTGTTGGTAAATAATCGGATCTATATCTAGTTTCAATTTTTTTTGTATTTTTAAAAAAAATCTTATACATTCGGTATATGAATATATACCATATATAGTAGTATACTGTGTTGCTTCTTTTTTTTTTTTAAATGCTCCGTAGCAGCTGTCAAACCCTGTAGGGTTCAATACAGTATTATTAATCCTGGTAAATATTGTAGTTGATCAACAGCCCAAGTTAGAAGAACAATAAATTGTCCTGCCGGAGGCGAGTAAAGGAAGACCCAATCTTTGACTTGTGTACAACAATATGAGTGGCGCTTTGGCCCAGAGGCAATGTCTCTGTCATTGGTGTGGAACCCCAGGGTTCACCTCCTGGGCAAGTTCGAATCCCGGTTAGGGCGGTTGGTACCTTCCAGTGGACTCACCACCCGCAGGAAGGTTTGGTACGGTGCAATGTGATTTGGGTGGCGACTGCTGCCCCTGCGACCCGGTAACGGATAAGCGGATGAAAATGGATGGATGGATGGACAACAATATGAGAGGATAATAAATGACAGACTTCCCACTGCCTCAGGTCAGGGTTTAGCAGGAAGACATACTCCCAGACCTCGATGCTAATCAGACTCGCACAACAGTCTTCATGTTGTATCTGCTGTTGAAACCTCAGATTTATGTTTTCACATTCCTTCCCTTTATCTCCCATATTTCTCAGCCTTAGTTACTGCCTCAAAAACTACTGCCATTGGGGATGGAAACATTAACTGCACTGCACTCAAGAAGTGTGTTTCTTGTTTCCAATTGCTAGATTTCAGTGGTTTTCACATTTGGTTTGGGTCTGAAAGCAGGAAGCTGCTAAGTCACTAAATGCCTTCCCAAGCACATACACTCACATAGCCCCACACATTCAAAGATAATTTCTCCCAAACTCTCTTCACACCAACTCTCCAGATGACTCCAAAACACCTCTACTCCCTGGGAACGATGGGAAGGCTCCCAATCCACATTCTCACGGGGAACCCTGGATCCATTCATTACTTTTGATCTCAGCAACAATAGGTTCATGAACTGTCCTCCAACACTGCTTGGCGTACTGGTAACTGTTGTACAAGATTTTCTTGAATACTTCTCCAGTCGTTTTATTTTCCTCATTGGACCTGTTTGTTTTGGCGTTTTGTTATTAAACAAATCGACCATTTACAGGCTGTTTCATTCCTTGCCTAAGACTACCTACAGGGTGATTTCTTCATTTTGATGCTGTGACTACAGGGAGAAGAAATCATCCAATTGGTGTCGTGCTCACGAACAAAGAAGGGCCAAATTGTTCAACTGGGCCGTGAACCAGATTGATTACACCAATACTCATTCAACTGGTGCCATGACCCAGATTGAAATATAGCAAGAATCTTCAAACTCAACAACAAATGGATAAAGAGTGTACTGGTACTGATGTTCAAGAACAAGTGCACTGTGTCTTTTGTGAACTTAGAGAAGGCCTATAATAGGATGCCTAGGGAGGAACTGTGGTGCAGTATGAGACAGTGAGGAGCGGCAGAGAAGTATGTGAGGGTGGTGTATGATATGTACAGGAGCAGTGAGACAGTAATTAGGTGTTGTCACCATTTTGACTTGTCCTTGCCATTATTGGCTAATCTATCAGTCAGTTACACACAGTATCCAATAATTTTCTGCTTCAAAATACTATCGGGTTTTCAGTCTCTTTTAAAACAAGTGTAACTTACAAAACTGACGTTGAAACACAACTTTAACTTTAAATTATGCCCATAAACTAATTTTTTTTCTAGTCCAATATCAATTTAATTTGATCAAAACCCACAACAACAACAACCCTGGAATCACAGTAATGTTTCCACATTAAAAAAGCTAATAAAAAAAATCCTCCATGGGAACGTTAATGGTTTGGCTGTAGCTATTTTAACAGATGCTTTGTGAGAACAGTACCAGACCTTTGTTTAATTGTTTAATATTCTCTGGACCTGAGATGCTAAAAATATTGGACTAGGGAAAAGAATTATAATAAGTATAATCACTGCAGCACTGATTTGTGTAATTATGCAGTGCCTTAATATTTTCTGGTGGTACTTTGTTTAATCCCTAGTTCTCTTTTTGATTAAATATTTAATGCATGCAAACAAATGATAATTATAGATTTTAACCAACACTGCTTCTGAAGCATATTTTATAGCTGGTTTAACAAATCAGGTAAGAATTACTGGAGAAAACATTGATAGATAGAACATGTTTTTGGTTAATAATTTCAATAAAATAGTTAGGCAAAACTAAACTCTCTATTCAGCAACAGAACAGAACCAACCATGTCATGTATAACGTCTATGATTAAACTTTTTTTTAAAAAGTACTCCTTGTACTACCCCACTATTGATTTTTGTATATGTACATGTCGTTCATATTGATATAGTAATATTTAAAGCTTTGTATTAGTGCTCAGTCATACATAAAGGCTGAAATGCTAAAATGCTTAACCTTCTCTATGGCATCTATGGGGGAACGCGAGCAAACGCCAAACGGGCCGTAGTTTGCCGTAGTTACAGTAGTTTGTTTAATCTATTTTTTATTTATTTATTTTTTAAACAAATACTGTAGTTTTTGATGACGACTTATACTCACTGTATCTTTTTTGTGAAATTCTTTGACACTATTCCTCCCTCTTCCTGCTTCTCCTCGTGCTTCCCTGTTTGGAGAAAAAAACAGAACAGAGTGAGGTCAAGTTCTATACCGGATCGGTCGAGGCCCGGGTTAACAACGACCGCCAACAGTGCCGTTGACCAACAGGGCACTGATGGAAATTGGACTACTGTTGGTCAGAGACAGAGTCAGAGACAGAGAAGAAGAGGAGGGCGTTTGGTTAGGAGAAAAAGAGAAAAGATGAAGAATAGAAGTGTTAGTCTGAAGTTTGGAACTTTGAATGTAGGTACAATGACAGGGAAAAGTAGAGAAATAGCTGATGTGATGGAGAGAAGAAGAGTAGATATTTTGTGTGTGCAGGAGACCAGGTGGAAGGGCAGTAAGGCTAGAAACATTGGAGGAGGCTACAAACTGTTTTATCATGGTTCAGATGGGAAGAGAAATGGAGTAGGGGTGATCCTAAAGGAAGAATATGTAAGAAATGTGGTAGAGGTGAAAAGAGAGTCAGACAGGTTGATGTGTGTGAAGGTAGAAGTAGAAGGAGAGATGATTAATGTTGTTAGTGGTTATGCCCCACAGGTGGGCTGTGAGTTGGAAGAAAAGGAGAAGTTCTGGAAGGAGCTAGATTGGATGGTAGAGAGTATCCCCAGGAGAGAGAGAGTGGTGATTGGAGCAGACCTAAATGGTCATGTAGGGGAAGGGAACAGAGGAGATGAGGAAGTGATAGGCAGGTTTGGTGTTAGGGAGAGAAACGTAGAAGGACAGGCAGTGGTAGATTTTGCAAAGAGAATGGAAATGGCTGTGGTAAACACATATTTCCAAAAGAAAGAGGAACATAGGGTGACTTACAAGAGTGGAGGCAGGTCCACACAGATAGATTATATTCTATGTAGAAGATGTAATCTGAGGGAGATTAGAGACTGTAAGGTGGTGGCAGGTGAGAGTGTAGCCAAACAACATCGGATGGTAGTGTGTAAAATGACGATGGAGGTGACAAAAAGGAAGAGAGTGAAGACAGAGCAGAAGATCAAGTGGTGGAAACTAAGGAAAGAGACATGTTGTGAAGACTTCAGGAAGGAAGTAAGGGCAGTTCTGGGTAGTGTTGAGATATTCCCAGATGATTGGGAGACTACAGCTGCAGTGATGAGGGAGACAGGTAGGAAGGTGCTAGGTATGTCCTCTGGGCAGAGAAAGGAGGACAAAGAGACCTGGTGGTGGAATGAGGAGATCCAGGAGAGTGTGCAGAGAAAGAGATTAGCGAAGAAGAGATGGGACAGTGACAGAACAGAAGAGAACAGACTGGAGTACAAAGAGAGGACAAGGGAGGTGAAGAGGGAAGTGGCCAAGGCCAAACAAAAGGCATATGAGGAGTTGTATGAGAGTTTGGAAACAAAGGAAGGAGAAAAGGAGTTGTATAGATTGGCGAGACAGAGAAATCAAGCTGGGAAGGATGTGCAGCAGGTGAGGTTGATTAAGGACAGAGAGGGGAATGTGATCACAAGTGAGGAAAGTGTGCTGAGAAGATGGAAGGAATACTTTGAGGAGTTGTTAAATGAGGAAAATGAAAGGGAAAGTAGAAACGAGGAGCCAGAGACTAGTAGGAAGAAGGTAGATCAGGTTAGAAAGGATGAAGTTAGAAAAGCCCTGAAGAGGATGAAGAGTGGAAAGTCAGTTGGTCCTGATGACATACCAGTGGAAGTATGGAAGTGTTTAGGAGAAGTGGCAGTAAATTTCCTGACTGGTTTGTTTAACAGAATTTTAGAGACTGGCAAGATGCCTGATGAGTGGAGAAAAAGTGTTCTGGTGCCAATTCATAAGAAGGGTGATGCACAGAGTTGTAACAACTACAGAGGGATAAAGTTGATGAGCCATACAATGAAGATTTAGGAAAGAGTAGTTGAAGCTAGGTTGAGGCAGGAAGTGGAGATTTGTGAACAACAGTATGGTTTCATGCCTAGGAAGAGTACCACAGATGCAATATTTGCCTTGAGGATGTTGATGGAGAAGTACAGGGAAGGTCAGAAGGAGCTGCATTGTGTATTTGTAGATCTAGAAAAGGCATATGACAAAGTGCCAAGGGAGGAATTGTGGTTTTGTATGAGGAAGTCAGGAGTGGCAGAGAAGTATGTTAGTTTGGTGCAGGACATGTATGAGAATAGTACAACAGTAGTGAGGTGCGCTGTTGGGAGGACAGAAGACTTCAAAGTGGAGGTGGGACTACATCAAGGATCGGCCCTGAGCCCCTTCTTGTTTGCTGTGGTGATGGACAGATTGACAGATGAGGTCAGACAGGAGTCCCCATGGACTATGATGTTTGCAGATGACATTGTGATCTGTAGTGAGAGTAGGCAGCAGCTAGAAGAGAACCTAGAGAGGTGGAGGTTTGCACTAGAAAGAAGAGGAATGAAGGTCAGTCGCAGCAAGACAGAGTACATGTGTGTAAACGAAAGGCAGAACAGTGAAATAGTGAGGCTACAAGGAGCAGAGGTGGTGAAGGTGCAGGAGTTTAGGTACTTAGGATCAACTGTTCAGAGCAGCGGAGACTGTGGAAGAGAGGTGAAGAATAGAGTACAGGCAGGATGGAACAGCTGGAGAAAAGTGTCAGGAGTGATCTGTGACAGAAGAGTGTCAGCTAAGGTGAAGGGAAAGGTTTACAGGACAGTGGTGAGACCAGCCATGATGTATGGTTTAGAGACAGTAGCAATAGGCAGAAGACAGGAGGAGGAGCTGGAGGTGGCAGAGTTAAAGATGCTAAGATTCTCTTTAGGAGTGACAAGAATGGACAGGGTCAGGAATGAGGTCATTAGAGGGACAACACAGACAGGAAGGTTTGGAGAAAAAGCTAGAGAAGCCAGATTGAGATGGTTTGGACATGTGCAGAGGAGGGACAGTGGATACATTGGTAGAAGAATGTTAGAGATGGAGCTACCAGGTAGGAGAAAGAGAGGAAGACCAAAGAGGAGATATATGGATGCAGTGAGGGAGGACATGCAGATAGTTGGAGTCAGAGTAGGAGATACAGAGAACAGGGAGAGATGGAAATCAATGATTTGCTGTGGCAACCCCTGAAAAAAAAGGGACAAAGCCGAAAGAAAAAGAAGAACTAGAACTCTAAACTGGTCATGCTGATAACTAGCAATCCCATCCAGTCAACGGTCTCTGTTGCTCAAACTCTGCAGCGTTTTTGTGTTGACATAAACAGGGTGGGCTGCAGTACACACCACTGACACATGCCGTTCTTCTGATGTTGGGAGGAACAACTCGGCCTGCAAAGTATCCAGCCGCTGCTCTATCTGTCCAGAGCTAGCAGCTGCTAGCACACTGGAGAACTGCTAAATGTCACAGTAACTTTCAGCCCCACCTCTTGGGCCCAGGTTTGACTGGACCACGCGTTATAATATACCCCCAGTGACCAATCAGTCAACTGACAGTGCTGGTCTTGGCCTGTTTGAGTTTCCAGAGCGAGCTGAGCTAAGATCCACGCTGAAGTCATGAGATTGTTATTCAAACGTTATCATGGCTTCAGACGTCAAACTGGATCTCTGGATCACATCCCCCAGATATTTCATCAGTTATGGAGGTTTGGTTACAAAGTGCTCCAATGTGGTTCTTATCAGGTCTCTTACAGCATAGAGCATGAGTTCCAGAGGATTTGTGTCATAGGGAAAGTTATAACTGAGCTTCTCGTGAAATTAATCTTCATCTGTAGGTAAAGAAAAGAAAGCTTTTTCTGAAAATGTTCACACTCTTAATCTGTTTCTTTCTGATCGGTGCCTGAACTGTGATGAAATTATCAATTTTTTTGTCTTGTTTTGGAGTTTTGGGGATAGCAGGGATAAAAGTTAGCATTAGTTGTCAGAAAATTAGCTTTTCAAACAACTTAGCAATTAAAATTGAATTAATTAAAATTTCAAGAGTCAAACATTATATGTAATGGCATGTCTAAAGAAGCAGCACACACTGGAATTTCTTATCCATCCATCCATCCATCATCAACCGCTTATCCAGGGCCGGGTCGCGGGGGCAACAGTCTGAGCAGGGACACCCAGACTTCCCTCTCCCTCGACACTTCCTCCAGCTCTTCTGGGGGGACCCCAAGGCGCTCCCAGCCAGCCGAGCGACATAGTCGCTCCCACGTGTCCTAGGTCTTCCTCTAGGTCTCCTCCCAGAGGGACAGGACCCGAGCACCTCCCGAGGGAGGCGTCCAGGGGGCATGCGATGTAAATGCCCAAGCCACCTCAGCTGACTCCTTTCGATGTGGAGGAGCAGCAGCTCTACTTCGAGCTCCTCACCCTATCTCTAAGGGAGCACTATGCCACCCTGCGGAGAAAGCTCATTTCAGCCGCTTGTATCCGGGATCTCGTTCTTTCGGTCATGACC